GTTGGTACCGCCCCTAGTGTGAACACTCGCAGTATAACTTCAACCTCGTCCTGCACAGTTGTTCACACTAGGGGCGGTACCGTAATTAACCAACTCTTTAAGTGTGAACGCAACAAACCAAGTAATTACGGTACCGAGGTTGTTTATATACTGCGAGTGTTCACACTAGGGGCGGGTTCACACTAGGGGCGGTACCGTAATTAACCAACTCTTTAAGTGTGAACGCAACAAACCAAGTAATTACGGTACCGAGGTTGTTTATATACTGCGAGTGTTCACACTAGGGGCGGTACCGTAATTAACCAACTCTTTAAGTGTGAACGCAACAAACCAAGTAATTACGGTACCGCCCCTAGTGTGAACACTCGCAGTATGTAAACAACCTCGTCCTGCTTGAATTAATTATGTAAACAACCTCGTCCTGCTTGAATTAATTATTACGGTACCGCCCCTAGTGTGAACACTCGCAGTATATAAACAACCTCGTCCTGCCAATTCAAGCAGGACGAGGTTGCTTATATACTGCGAGTGTTCACACTAGGGGCGGTACCGTAATTACTTGATTTGTTGCGTTCACACTTGAAGAGTTGGTTAATTACGGTACCGCCCCTAGTGTGAACACTCGCAGTATATAAACAACCTCGTCCTGCTTGTAAACAACATAGATTCAAGCAGGACGAGGTTGAAGTTATACTGCGAGTGTTCACACTAGGGGCGGTACCGTAATTACTTGGTTTGTTGCGTTCACACTTAAAGAGTTGGTTAATTACGGTACCGCCCCTAGTGTGAATACTGTTTATATACTGCGAGTGTTCACACTAGGGGCGGTACCGTAATTACTTGGTTTGTTGCGTTCACACTTAAAGAGTTGGTTAATTACGGTACCGCCCCTNGCCGTAGCGCTTGTTCGTGAGGGCAGGGTGCAGTTGCTCCCCGAATTAAGCCTAAAAAATACTACTACTCCCAGTGTGTTAAGGAAGGGAGTGAAGGGATGCTTGGGGGAGTATTTCGAACGGGCGGAAGCGAGCTTATTCCAAGAAGCGAGCGAGTGGGGAAAGGGGGGAAAGTCCAGAAAGGGGGGAAACCATTCCCCTCCTTTTGTCACGCGCGCCCTAAAATAGAGCCCTGTAACTGGACTCAATAATTTTGCCCCAAAAAAAGTATGATGAATCAACCCGTCGAGTCCTTTCTAACTTCATTCTTTTGTCTTCCTTTTTCCTTTACAGTCTTGTTCTCATTCTCAAGTGTGGTTCCTCGATTTCCAATTCATTGGAGGTATGGAACCATAGTTCACCATGGTATGACCTCGTTGAGTGAACGAGGAAAAAAAATCTAGAATGTCTGAATCAGGAGATCACACTTCTGGATCTGGCCAAGATTTGGAACAGGTCGGGATGATGATGAGAAATATGTGCGTCGCCCAATTGGTCAGAAGGCAGAAAGGCAGGGAAGAGAAAGGTTTTGGTATGAGAAGTAACGCTGATAGGAAAGTTGAACGTATGTTAGAAGTATTTGGACATATTAATGATATACATGAAAAACAACAAAATGAACTTAAAAGGTTGGTTTGTATAGANTCCTCCAAATGCTCCATTTTAAAATGAGAAGATGAGATGTTAATTTGGTTGGTAGGCATTTATTTTACAAGTGGTAGACATTTATTTTAGTTGGTGAAGATAGTGGTGTGTAAATGATAGTGGTGAAGATGGTTGGTCGGAGACATTGAACACGGTAGATGAAAAATACAAAATGACTAACATTAAAATAAACATGATACAAATACATAAATATGAATTCAAGTACATATTCTTCCAAATAAAACACGATAAACATAAAATAAAATGCATTGTCAAATTTAATTGAGGCCCAATTCTTCTTTCAATTCTGCAAGAACCCAATAGTGAGCTTCTAATTCTGCTTCAGTCATAGTTGAAGTGTCTTCCTTTAACATTTTTCTATAGGTTTTCCACGATTCAATGCGTACCAATTTTTTATATCCTTCTGTTGTTTTTGATGCATATTCATAATTTGTCCAAATGCATCCAACATGCGTTCTGTTCTTTGTTCAGTGCTACTCCCTATGCCACTTTTTCCTTTTCTCTTTGCAGCCTTCGCTGCCGTTTGGCCGATGGGGCGACGCACGTATCTATCGTCATCATCACCAGCATGCTCCACATCCTGTACAGATCCAGAAGTGTGATCTCCTGACTTTGATGTTCTAAATTTCTTTCTTCCACGAACTGCTCCACCAGTCCCTTGAAATTTTGGACTGTTTTTCAGAATCTCCCAACAGTGAAGCCACTTGAAGGCTCCTTTTCTTTTCCCTTCACTATTCCACTCTGTTAATGCATTTTGTAACACAATAGCATCATTTTCACCACTCCTTTGGTCAGCTCGGAACCTGTTTATGGATGCATTAAATTTAAGGCAATATCCTTGAAAAGCATAGAAATGAGATTTTGTTGAATCCATAGATCTCTTAAGCAAGTTTCTAGCTTGAGCTGTTTCATTATAATATTGANAGCCACTTGAAGGCTCCTTTTCTGTTCCCTTCACTATTCCACTCTGTTAATGCATTTTGTAACACAATAGCATCATTTTCACCACTCCTTTGGTCAGCTCGGAACCTGTTTATGGATGCATTAAATTTAAGGCAATCTCCATGAAAAGCTTAGAAATGAGATTTTGTTGAATCTATAGATCTCTCAAGCAAGTTTCTAGCTTGAGCTGTTTCATTATAATATTGAACGATTCGTTTCCAGAAGCCTTCGGAACTCTGTTGAGCACCGACAATAGAATCACTCGAGATAGTACAAAATGCACGACAACGCAACATATCTTCCTTATGTGTTCACGATATTGCCGATGCTTTACCACGTCTTTTTGGCTCAGGTTCCTTATTTTTCTCTGTCTCCATATTGAGAAAAATATTGTCAAGACCTTCAACCTCTGGCCCCGTGGCTCTTAGGGGATTCTGTGAGCCGGTAGGCTTATTGCTCACAGCTGTTGGTATGAAATTACCATGCTGAAAAGGCATGCCATATGAACTTGGCATTACATATTGGGATGTTATTGACCACATATGCTGAGATTGATTCATATTCATCGCATTTTGTTGTTGTGGGTAGACAGGATGTTCTAAATTTTGGGATATTGGAAACGAAAGAATTTGTTGATATGGAAAATTTTGGAATTGGGACAGTAATTGCATTCCAGGAAATTGGGGGCAGCACGAGAGGTATACTCCTGCTATAACGAGAATTTATTGAAGAGGGACTATCGTCCTCAGAAGAAATAGACATATTGAACTTTGGTAGGTTTGGGTTTCTATCCATTACTACTTGTTAGAAGAAAATGGAGGTGTATGTTTTAGGCAAACAATATTGCCCCTAATGTTTTATAGACAGGCAAGTTTACAAATGGACAAATAAAGATAAGTCTTCTATTTTCTCCACCACACAAATCAAGATTGAAATGAACTTATGGATCACACAAATCAAGATGATAATTCAACTTTATTTTGATGTGTGACAACTCAAATTTTGAAAAGCTTTTGTGTGGCAAACCCACATGCGTGTAGCAGACCATTTATGTTGATGTCTTCACATTTTTTTAAAAAAAAATTATGGAGCAACTAAAAAATAATAATCATGAGTAAAGTATAAGATAAAAATAGAATTAATTTAGTATCCGAAAAAAAAGATTGAATTCAATTATACTGTATAAAAAGAAGTTAGATGTGTTGTCGAAAAAAAACAAGTGAAAACGAGCTTCTTTCGAAGTAGAACGAACGCCAACAAACAATCCTCGAACAAGTTAGAAGTAAACGTATGTTATTTTCGTTAAAATAAATTTTGTATTGATTTAGTATCCGAAAAAAGAAAATTGAATTCAATTATATTGTATAAAAAGAAGTTAGATGTCTTGACGAAAAACAAAAAACAAGTGAAAACAAGCTTCTTTCGAAGTAGAACGAACGCCAACTAACAATTCTCGAACAAGTTAGAAGTAAAAGTATGTTATTTTCATTAAAATAAATTTGGTATTAATATAGTATCCAAAAAAAGATTGAATTCAATTATATTGTATAAGANAAAAAAAAAAAAAAGTGAAAACGAGCTTATTTTGAAATAGAACAAACGCCAACAAACAATCCTCGAACGAGTTAGAACTAAAAGTATGTTATTTTCATTAAAATAAATTTGATATGAATTTAGTATGCGAAAATATTTTATATTTTAATTACAGATGAATGAAATACAAATATAATTTATAAAATATATTAGAGTATATGTTTAAAATGTTGAAAAAAATGTAATTAAATAAATTCATAAAAAAAAAGGTCTAAATGAAAGAAGAAAAAGAGATGAAATTTTCATATTGCATTCACTGATTAACAATACTATTTTATTGTATTTATTACATGTGGGGCCCACAAAAACCCAGCTTCCCATTTGCACTCTCGCTTTGAAAACCTCACACTGCCCCTTATCCCTTTTAATAGCAAAACCTGCTAACATGGCGTTTCCAAACCTGTCCAAAAGCCACGGTTAAAGTTGCTCATTAAAGGTGGGATTTACTAGTTTGGAATTTCGAGTATGTATTGTCATTGAAATCTAAGAAAATATTAAAAAATCCATACAAATTCAACTGCTTAATAAATTAAATTTCTTATGACTTTTAATTATTTTTTGTAATCACAAACGAATACCATGTAACTTTTTACGACTTTAAAATCTCAATTGAATATACCTGCGTTAATTTTTCAAAATCATCAAATACCCTCTTGCTATATGTATTTTTCCTTTCACAAATTGAAACAACACAAAGAATACAGCACGACGGATATACACCACCATACAACAAATTCATTCCATTTAACTACAGAAAACACATCTTTAATCTGCACACATTAACACAAGTCACCCACAAACTGAAACAGACAAATCAACCAATCATAAATACAACATGAACAAAACCAATAAATTCATTGAATTTGCAATTATTCATCACTGTTGTTTCTACTTGGGGATCCTCTTGGACAGTGCCCGAACGGAGATTATAATGAGCAAAGTGAGCACAACGGAGCCGAACAAGGAGACTGCAACTGATGACCCAATGTGCTTGCAAAAGCCATCATAAATGTCGCAAATCTTTCGCCATTGAACGTGAGAGTTGCCTTTCAACCCAATGTATGCAACTGCACCGGCTGCCCCAGTTGCTGCAGCCATTATTCCCAAGACTAGCTGCACCAAATTCATACATTTTCAAGACTCAATCTTTAAATTTGCTTTTTCAGTATATTTTTTATTTTGAAATAGCGCAAAAAAATTTGAATAGATAGAGCTTAATTACCACATCAAAGATGACCAAGTGGGATACTAGTTTGATGTAGGATGTAGGTTTGAGGACGACAAAGAAGGACACAATGGTGGTTATGGCCGCGTATAAGCCCGCAACTGACACTGCTGCTACAAAGTATCTGCATCAACAATCAAATCTTTTTAATTGTTTTTTTTTTTCTAGACTTTATATTAAGAAACACAAGTTTTACGATTGGATATAAAAATTTTTAGTTTTGTTTGGATTTTTTTGTTTGGTTTGGTTAATTTTGAAAAAGTTGGTATGATTAGTTGTTAGTGGATATATTAGAATAATATTTAAAATGAAATGATTAAAGTTGATTTGATGTAAACTAGGAGAGAGAAGATTTGAAGTGATGGTTAGTTAAAATGATGTGAGTGGATGAATAGTGAATTAATATAAGGTGGTGTGTAAGAATGATTGATTGATATTATTTAATTAAATTGATAATATTGATGATAGTGAGGTTGAGTTAAAGTTGAGTTAAAAAAAGTGGTTGAGTTAAAAATGTTTGGATTTTTTTGAGAAATTTTGTATCCAAGCATGCTCACAGACTAGCAGCCAAAATAATAAACCACAAAAACAAATACAAACACACATAAAATATACTCCATATATTAAAAGGAAAATACAATAAAACAGTTGTAATAACAAAAACCTCCCCACATGGCTAAACCATACTAACCACTAAGACCAAATCCTAAAAGCACCCACAATGCTTTGGGTCTCTTAACAAAAAATCAAATGTCATGTAGGAAATAGATCTAGTCTATAAAAAAGTTTTCAAAATGCATTTAAAAGTGGACTTAGTCTAGCTTATGTGAAAAAAAGAGACCAAACCCACTCTTGGGTCTATTTTGGACCCAAGTGTGAACCTATACAATCAACAATCATTACTATTATTATATTTTAATTGGTTCTTAGGTATTCTAAACTTAGTATTTTTCTTTTTGCATTGGATAGATTTTTGGATTTTTTAGCTTGAGTTTGTCAATGTCATTAGACTTAAGTCTATTTATTTGTCACATATGCAAAAAGAGACCCAAAGCGTATGTACCATCAAAATTCAAAATACAATAAAATCTTTTTCATTTTTGATTAATTAATAAGTAGATGTTAGAGAGGCAATTGCGAAGATATAAATTTATGTTTAACCTCTTGTTTGTAGTTATTCTCGACCTACAGCTGCTATTAATTAATAAAGCTACAAATTAAAAATATTTTAATTTTTTGACTCGAGGAAACTGCAGAAGAAAAGTTGCAAAAGAGAGCACAACACCACTTTGTAATTATAACCATTAAATTATTCAGCCGCCACATTTGATCGAGGTTAAAAAAGGCAAACAGAGGCCGTAATCAAGAATTTCAAAATTTATATTTGCATTTTTATTTTTTATTCTAATTACTATTAAGAGAGTCGTAAAGCCTCCAAGTTCAATTCTTCAATAAATAAAAGCAAATATCAATTGTGACGATTTTTGTTTTTTCTACTCCCTCCATTTTGAAATATAAGGCATTTGAAATATAAGGCATTTAAGGTTATTGCACAAATATTAAGAAGACATTAATTAATGAATAAATTGATTAAATTAGCCTTATTTATTCTAATCACAACCACTCCACACTTTCTTAATTTCAATACAATGAGGGTATATTTGGAAAAAAATGCAAAAATTTGTCTTGATTTTTGAGCGCGCCTTATATTTCAAAAAAAATGAGAAATCTTTATGCGCCTTATATTTCAAAATGGAGAGAGTAGTACTAAACTTGAAAAAAAAAAAAACGTTTGATTTTAAGTTGTAACTATATTGTTCATATGATTATTATTCGTTTTCCATTTAAGATAGTTACATGAAAAGAAAATTGATGTTAGTTGTTATACGCTATATATAACCCAACAAACAAATTGGTATTCTTCTTCTTTGTCATTTTATCATGGAAGCTTTTGTAATTAATCCCCGTTTAGTTACATAATTGGTAAATTTGAGAAAAATTTTCACAAAAACCAAACATCTATAAACAGTATATTAATTAAGTAGCTTATATACATAGGCAGTGCATAAAAATACTTACATCAAAGCCGGTGAATGATTGAACTTGGCATCTCGAGATACCAAGAAAGGAGGAAAAGGGATTGGAATAAGTTCCGATTGTTTGCCAGTAACCATCACAATGACAGCCGCTACACATGAAGCAAACAGCAGAAATCTCAACACCAAATCACCCACCGCCGAGCCGCCGTTACGTGGCGGCGGCAGCAATGGCGCCGCCGTCTTCTCCCCGGAAATTTCTACGGAGGCCATAGATTTAATAATATAATAATATGTTATTCTTTACTGAATGTGGATATGAGCGGGGCATTTGTGTTATATTTATATAGAGGCAAATTAAGTGTGGGCGGTCAAAATTATATATTCGGTCAGAATTTGTGACATGTCCAGTTAATTAGTTACGAATGTATTTTATTGTCTACATATTTGTGATGGGTGTTCACATTTAATTTGTGTTAATTTTGGGTTGCTATATATCTGATGTGAAGACTGAAGAAATAGATATAATGGCCTGTTTAATTGTAGGCGGAATTAATTTTGTGATGTTTTGAAATGTCAATTGGGTACATATTTTACGGACTTCATGAAATTATAAAAGTGAATCGAAATCAACCATTAGCAAGACAATATTTTCAATAAATCTAATGATAAATACATGTAGCACTAATCAATTGTAACATTAGAATTTATAAATGTAATAAAGTAAAAATGACACTTTCTGGTACAATACTTTACGATTAGCATACGTAATAATTCTTTAAGGTTCAAACTTTGCATCTTTAACTTTTATTTAATAGTTTTATCAATTAAGACCATAAAGTATTAGTTAATTATCAATTTGAGGCTTAAAAGATAATTTAATTTTATCTATTCAGAACAATATATCCCATTGCCACCTCTCCTCACTTTCTGAATCATTGTAACAGCTTGATGTGGTTGACCATTCACATTCCCATTGCCTCGAAAGCAAAGTAATAATTAATGAATTAATAACCTGGAAATGTGAGAGCATATTTGATTATTAACTAGTTGGATCAAGATAACAGTGTGAATTGCGTGTTGTTTATGGGAACGTGTTTGATTCGGTAAAATATAGTTTCTTATACATATTATTATTTTCTCTTCCGGTTGACAATTTCATAACCTTGAACACATTGAACAACGTTTGATATCGTATTTTTCTTGATATGGATGAAACAGTAGTTGACTAGATTGTTTAAAAAATGGATAATTGAGTTCGCTATCCATTAACTTTAATACGAAAACTTCTGCGTCGCTTGCGTTTTAGTAGAACATCATTTATTCTAATAAAGTACAGATAATATAGTATGATACTTGCGCTACAAAAACAATTAATTAAGGTGATACATGTCATGGAGAATCATCGTGTCAGCAACTAGTAATGATAAACATAATAAACCGAATATAAGTGTAAAATATCTGTTCACACGTAGAATATATTAAGACGATAGGTCTCCTCCCATTAATATTTATAAGAAGAACAAATCAATGACAAAGACGGGTGCTTCTTGGAGCGAGACGTGCATTACTCAATAGGCGACTAGGAGAGAAACACATCACTGGCAAAGAGGGGGTGCTTCTTGGAGCGAGACAAGTTTTGTTAAACAGGCGAGAAGGATTAAGAAAGTTGGAGTCTTGAATGTTTTATATGCAATTTAATTAACGCAAGATAAAAGTGATAGGATTAAATGCTAAAGTTTATTCAATTTCGCATTAATGTTATAAATATACTCGTTAAATGTCTTACATTTATAGCATGCAATATGCACGATTAAATAGCGCACACACACACACACACAAATCTGCGGAGCACCGCCTTCCCCTTACCTTCTTCGACATAGTGGCCTATACTTCCACCCATTCAAACGCCTTCTTCTCTACACTTACTCCTGCTCCACCGACACATTCTTGCAAAAATCACCCCAAATATAAAAAATTCTCTCTCCAAAACCCTCGCTACCTCCCCCTCGCCGAAAACATAATCACTCCCCAAAATTCAACCTGCATGAGCTCCTCTACTCTGAAGGAGACCCAATACATGTAACCTTTACCGAATCAAAACCGCTGCACACTCCCATCGTCATCGTCGCCACTGTCATCTTCCTCTTCAGTTACCCCATCCAAATCCGCTGCTCACACTCCCATCGCCGCTATCTTCCAAATCCTGCCACAGTCGTCATGGTCGTCTTCTTTCTCAGTCGCCCTGATCAAATCTCCCCGCCGCCGCCGTACTGATAGCCGTTGGGGATGGTTTATCACACAACATCACCATTTCACATAGTTGTACTTATTAATTAGAGTGGATGGGTTATGAAAATTTACACGATTGATATGTAAAGTGCATAATATTCTATGTGGATATGGACATTAAAAATACTTATGCTGCTGAAAGCACATTATTGTTAGACTAAGTGCACAAGTACCTATGGGAATGCATATTAGCGTAACAGTGCACTATGCAAAATGACTAAAATACAACCACGTGAAAAAAGTCCTAATAATTACAAGAATATCACCGCCTCTTTGACAAAAATTGAACCGTTTGACTGTGCTTGAAGCGTTAATATATCACATATGATCGATACAATTCTTTATTATTTCTTTCAGTATGACACATTCTCATATGATCCTACATGTGGTGACGAATGCACAATAGTGTTGGACCAAATACACATTAATGTCTTCGATAATGCACAATACCGTAAAAGTGTATTCGTGATGATCTTGCGGAAAAAATAAAAAATATATTTTACACAGTTGTGCATTTTACACAGGAATTAATGTGTATTTCATTAGTCGCCGTTGTGCATTCTGTAACACGGTGGCATTTTGATAAATTTGTGAACTTATAAATGTATAAGCGGTGGAAATTCTATGATTTCGTAAAAAGATGACGTGATTTTTAATATGCATGTTCTTACATAATATTGTACATTTTAAGTATCATTATTGTGCATGTATTTAGCTTTTATGAAATTACAGGTTTGCCTCACGTACTAAACTGTAATATATTAAAAGTTATGAAATTACATATAAAGTCAAATCTCTTAAAAAAGTTCTCAGCCCCAAAATGTTCCTGGTCGTTCCTAGCTCGCCGCCCTTGTAGCCTGAGAACAGTCTAGCCATATCTTCCATGCACAGACATCGACGATGTAGCAGATGCCACTTCTATCAGCGTTCAAGTCGACGTACTCATGGTCGCTGTACTTCCAACAATCGTCCTCGCACTTGGATGTGCAGATGCCTCCACGAGGACACACCCACTTTTGGATCCTCCTGTTGGGTTCTATGAAGAACTTTGTCGATGTACACATTCGAATATATTAAAACTAAATCCTAACGAAGCGAAATCTATAGTTAGGATTAGGAATTACGGTTTAAAATATTTGCTGACGCTGAGACGTTTCTGATTTTCACTGTTGGAGGTCGTCTGAACCTCAGAGTCCGTTGGGCTGCTGAACTTGGCCTCGCCATCACTGGATCTCGTCCTTCTCATGTCTCCGATCACTTGTCACTCGTAAATAGTCTCGAACCTCCGATGGCTTGGTCGAACTGCTCTGGGGTCCATGTGGGCTTGTCGAGTCTTCTTGACATAGCTGGGATGGTTTGGACCGCTACTAGGCCGGGCTAGACCGGACTGGACCAGATCTGGTGTGTTGGTGCCGAGGCTGCACGGTTCTGTTGTACTGCTGTCGAGAAATCGTTCGCTAGGGCCCACTGGTCACGCTGTTGCTGAGAAATCGCTCGTTGGGGCGCACTGTTCACGATAATTAACTCTCCAAAGGTGTTGGAACGCTACTTGGCGGAGACGAGTCACACTGGGCATGCGGGTCGCTCGAGGAACACGCGGAACTTACTACGGGTCGCACTAAGCAGAACGCGGGTCACGCTCCAGGCAGTAGGGAGACATTGCGCGGGATGTGCGCGCGATGGTTGGACATGGGTCTCACGTCGTCTGCTCGGGTGATGCGTTGTCTACACGGGTCTGCCTGCACGGGCCGTCCGCGGGCAACACCGGCGGGTACGACTGAGGCCGGTGGTCGTGGGCACGTTGGTGGATAGCGTTTCTTTCGGTGGTCGTCCTCTCGAATTTTCGTGGCGATCTGAGATGCTGTGGGGCTGTATATATTCGATGAGATACATCATGTATTCGTCGGGATACGAATACATAACCTTGAATCTTCTCTTATATGACCTTTATAACTTCTCCGAGCAATCTTGGTGCAGCGATTATATGTAACTCCAAAAGCCTTTAGATTTCTTCTCCTGAAACCTCAAAGTTTTATCCGAATTTTCCAAAGAGAATAACTCTCTTCTACATGTTATTTTGACCGAGTAAAAATGTAACGCCCCGTTTTATTTTAAATAATTTACCGAATTTATTTAATAACAATCAGAGTTTTTTTTATCTATTTATTTTTTTAAATCCACATTAAAACGTTTATTTTTTTTTTTAAATCCAAATTAAAACGTTTAACGAGAAACGGGCGCTACTCACTAACAACAGCAAACAAACACATCCAACAATTCAAAGAACCTACATATGCTCGAGCTATCAAAATAAACAATCCCATAAAACATACATCTCAAAATCATTTCAAAGGTCTAGCATGATCAAAGTTCAACAGACTAAACTTAGTTCGAAAAGCGAGAGCAATAAATAGTCCAAAGTATGATAGCAAATAAATAAATAGCAAGTTCATGCGGAAGCATAAGTTATTATCACATATTGACCACCATCTCGCTTGTCCTACACCACTGCCTCCAGCTCGTCTCAACCTAATTCAAAGGAAGAGAGAAGACAACAACAAATAATGGGGGTGAGCAACCAACAAGCTCACCATTATCGCACAATTATCTCGTATAATAATTATAAAAACAAGTAACCAGAGTATATAGTATTCAATATCAGTATGCATAGAATTCATAGCCTAAACCCCCTACTCGGTCCTATCACAAACCTCCTATGTACATACAACAACCTTCCGGATACAACGGCATGGCTGTAACTGGAAACCTTCCCACCCCCGGATACAACGGTTCATAGGATCCTTTTCCAGGAGACAACAGAGATGTTTTTCCTTTTCCGGATACAACGGCATGGGGCGTAACTCCCGGATACAACGGACATGTGATCTCCTACTGCTTTTGCATTCATCTAAGGCACTATCGTTCGGGACGCTTAGACTAGAGTTCTCATGCATACAAAAATTTTCAAAAGAAACATTACAAGAAATAGTAAGTGCGATGAATATGGAATACATCATAAATGTACCCACCTGGATGCAGCAACAGATCAAATCACGAATCTCGAAAGTAAGATGAGGTCAACACCTCTAGACACCCGCATTAAGTTCAGATACTAAAGTCAACACTTTAATCTAGACCGAAGTACAAAATTCACAATTTGACTTAGCCGAACTCGATTCGACCAAGTGGTTCGTGAAGTTCTG